TTTATATAAAATAAACTAATAGTAATATAATAAGATAAATATGTCCGATATAATAAATAAGATAAATATAACAAATAATATATAATTAATAAATATAACAAATATGAAAAATCTGATAAATATGATAAATATGATAGATCAGTCAAATATGACCAATTTGTCATATTTGTCAACTAAGTCAAATAATAATTTGTAGATCAATTTTAATGATCTTATAATAATGTTAATTTTACAGCTAACAATACTTATTTTTAAGAAAATATAAAACCAATTATTGCTAATTTTCCAAATCATTATTTATAAGAAAAGCAATAATTTTACTTAATAATCAAAAAAAAATTTCAACCAAAATTTCTAATATTATTAATAAATTCTAATTCTTAGACTATTATATACAGTACATGACATAAATATCCAGAATTTATCGTGTCAAATAAAAATATCGCAAATTTTATTTTATTAGTTTCATATTTACACTATTAATAGATTATAATATACAGATAAACATGCTAAAAAATTTAATAATTAATTGTATGCCCCTCTTTATCTATAACCTCTCTAATTCGATCTGATATACTATCCACTAAATTAAAGAAGACATTTTAATCAATACTATCCCATTTCTGTCAGATTATACCTTGAAAAGCTTTTGCACCAAGTCCTTTTTTTTTCGAATTCAATCATTAACCCTTTTCTCCACTTTTCCTTTAAGAATGGCCTATAAATTCTTGATTGAATTAAGATTAGGGGAGTTTGCAGGTCAATCAATCACCAAAACATTATTCTCCACAAAAATTGACGGGTAAGCCTTGCTGTATGGATTGGTGTATTATCTTGCTGGAAGCGTTACCGGTAGCCAGCACTGTAAGCATTGGAAAGTAATTGGAATTGAAGGATTTTATGATATTTTGCAGAATTCATCTTTCCTGTAAACAAAACAACTCCAATTGGTCCTTAATAACAAAATGCATCCCAAACATGCACTTTATACAGATGTTTCACCATAGGATATGAAGGATGTGTACTACCAGCTTTGTAACATACTAGTTGGATATTACTAAATGTTTGAAACATACTTTCATCGGAAAAAATTGTATGAGAACAATCATCTTGGTTATGCCTTAAAGCCCATTGGAGATGAGCTTTAATATGATTTGGTTTAAGGAGAGGAACAGCTCGTGGCTTATAAACTATATAATTAAGTTTATTTTAAGGGTACGTTGAATAGTCCGAGTTGACACATTAAGGTCTGGATACATATTATTCAGGTTTGTTGTCATTAAAGCTAGAGTTGTTGCATTATTAACTTGGAGGAGATGACCAAGATATCGACATTTATTGGGAGTAAGAATAAGGGGACAACCAGGATAAGGTAAATGCTCAACTTTTCCAGTTTTTTTCAACCGGTCAACAATATCATATATTGTAGAGCTTGGATAATCAGTTATTTTAATTATTTTAGAGGGTTTTCATATATTTTTTACTCATAGTTCTTTAACAGTTAAACGTATTATTTCAAAAATTGAAATGAACATCATGATTGAATATTTATTGATAAACAATCACGTGAAAATTTTGTGGCATTTATTTTTATTTCTAAAAATAGCTAAAGAATTGCTATTTTAATTTTTATTTCGATCAGACAAAAATTGGTATGACAACAGCTTTTTTTGTACCACTGACAAAATTCCAGATAATTTTGTCATGTACTATATATTATTTAAAGATAGTTCTCATAATTGTTTATAAATTTGTAACCTAATTATAATATTAATAAATTTAATTGTGATATGAGTTGTAACACAATTGCAACATTTTTTGATAATTACAATGCCATCTTTGTATCACTAAATATGAAAGAAGATATCCTTTAGATTGTTTAGCAAGCAAATTTGCCTGCAAAATTAAAAAAAAATTGTTAATTTCTTTATAAAATATAAAATATTAATTTTATTAACAAAGATTTTAAGTTTTTTAAAAGGTTTTTAAAATAATTTAATTATAAAATTAAGTTTCAAAAAAT